GGTGATTCAGGCCTACAGGAATAGGAGAGAACAGTGACTTCTTAGAAATGAAGAGCTGAAATAAAATCCTTTGAGTCAATAGGAAAGTTGCTACAATTGTGTGCATGCACACACATGCAACTCTATATTTAGAGATGTGATTCACAGCCAGGAAGAATAGAAATTTTATATTCATACCTTATAAGATGCCTCCTTTCCCCGTTCTTCATGGATCAGTATGAGAGAATAGGAGCTTTTGTTCCTTATGATGTAAATTACATTCACATCACTCGTCACAGTCTGTAATAAGTAACAGGATCCCCAGATTTTGCCCTAAATCTTGAAAAGTAACTCTGAACGCAATGGTGACATTTTATGTAGTGCCATTCCTGCCTACATTGAAAGTCTGATTTTGATCTTGCTTTTCCTAAGATAACTTGTCCACATCCCAAAGGTGGTAATTTCACAAGCACCTGTGTGGCCCTTTCTCTGAGTCTGAAATCTGTAAGAAGTGAAATGTAACCTGAGGAATATTAAAGGGGCCAAACTCAGGACATTGGAATTGGGTAGATCACAACCAGAAAGTGGAAAAGATTTAGAGTCAGTGAAGAAGTTCGCAACTTACTACAAGACTGACAAAGGCACCAAACATCAGATTGAGCCTAAGCCTAGACTTTGAAAAGCTCTGGATTCTGCTTTGGCCATGTTATTACCCAAAGCTTTCCAGGTTCTTTTGTCAAAGAACTAATCAACAAATGACTGTTTTGTACATCTGTGGAATCTGTGGAGGTAGGAAAGATGGTGGGATGAGATGGACATCATTACCCTAAGTACATGTATGAAGACACTAATGGTGTAACTCTACTTTGTGTACAACCAGAGACATGAAAAATTGTGCTCTATATGTATAATATGAATTGAAACGCATTCTGCTGTCATGTATAACAAATTAGAATAAATAAATAGATAAATAACATACAATAAGATAGCCTTTTGATTATCACTACATTATATCAGTTCCCAATGTACATCACCATGGGATTTCTGGGGTTATTTTGCAGAGGAAAAGTAATGTAAATTAAAAACAGGAAACAAAAGGTAGGAATATGGGCACTTAATAGAGATCTAAATAACTGAATCCTGAGAGATCTGAACAGAACTAGTTATTTTTCATGAGTAGAAATATACTAACAAAGGACATCTGTGGCCAACCTTCTACATTTGTAGGAGACATTAAATTATTTGAGGGAATGAAATAGGAGCCAGTGAAGATAATCATAGAGAGCTCACTGGAAAATTAGCAGCAGGGTGTTAGTGAGGGCAGATGCAAAGTGGAGTGTGAGGAAATTAATGATTTGAATTTTGCTTATGGGAATGGATTTTGAATTGTATGATATGCTCAGAGAAGCCCTAAAGTCAGTCTTACCCAGTGAATAGCTTTTCCACAAAACCTGGCTGAACACCTTTAGTGAGAATACTAAAAACAAACCAAAAGAATGTAATCTCGCCTGGGTTTAAAACCCTGGTTCATTCATATTTAGAAACATAAAACCACTATGACTGAAAAAAATCAGCAGAAATGAAGATCCAGAGAAAGACAATTAGAATGGTTCAGCAGATGGGGGAATGTCATAAACAGACAGTTTGAAAACTAAGTATACATCTATCTGGAAATAGGAAGAGTAAAAGGAGATATCAGCTTTGTTCAGAAAAACATAGGGGAATGTGAAAAGAATGGATAGTGATTCATAAGTCCTGGAATATCAGGCTTGGGGATACTGCTTGAAATGTTACTGACAACAATAAAGATGATGATGACAACAGCGACCACATGGTAAGAAATGATTTTGTGCTTGAAGGACCCATGGTTACTGAATGCTTATCGAGTGAAATGGATCAACTACGCTTTTGTGGTCTCATGTCTGAAAAGCTGTTTCCAGGACCTCCCTCAGGAACAAAGGAAGATTTCCCTGGGCCAAGTCACACTCCCTTTGTCACTGAGGAAATTTTCCCAGAGCAGTAAGTAACTGTGTACAGCAGTCCAAGACCACCGCATCTGAGGAATGGAAGCCTCCTGGCATGGTTATCCAATACTGGAGTCCCCAGGAAGCAGACCTTGGGGATTTTAGCATGCAAGGAATTTTTTTAAGGAGCGCTTTTGAAATCAACCCCTGTAGAAGGGAGGGAAAGGAAGCAGGATTGGGTAGAGGAAGAAGCTGAGCTGTGATGTAATATCAACAGATGCCTCAGCCAACCATACTAGGAGTAATGAAGGTAGGTTGAAAGTACACAGCTGTCCCAGGCTGGACCTTTACTCCATTCTGATAATCAGTTACTGGATATGGGGTTCTGTGGGAAGGAGATAGGATCTTGATGAAGGCAGTTTCCTTACATTGAGGCAATCTACAAAGGGGACTGCCTGCTGAGGGCAGGGTGCAGGGAGCAGTCCCAACAGCTGGGGTTGGTTGGTCCTTCATTCCTGAAGAGGGATCTTGGGAGCTCATTCCGGCATCTCCCACACTCACCTCCATTTTGACCTTCAGTTTCCATTCCTGACTGACATGAGTGAACACCAGGAGGATATTGAGGATCTGTTTAGTGAAAGACAGTGACTTAGTTGACACATATAATACCAGCCCTTGGGGAAGCTGAGGAGCAGAGAGATTTGTCATCAGTGGCCCTGACTTTGCGACTCCTTGCTCCCTTCACAATGCCTTTTCCTCTCCCTGCTCCTCCTTTCCTTGTAACTGCCCTTCTGCTGGCCTCCCTGACTTCTAACACTCCCAGCTGTGTCTAGTGGAAATGATTTGATAAATTCATTCACCCAAACCTCTCAATGACAGGGGCTAAATTTGCAAAACAGTCTTGGGCCAAAAGAGTAAAATCCTCTAGAATTTCAGGCTGTTCATTGAGGGGGTACATCTTCTTGAGTCTTAGGAATGAAGTGGTATTAGGAATATTCTCTCTCTCTAAAGTCTAGTGTAACCCTGGAAAAAGCCCACGAGATTGGTGCAGATAGAGCCAGCCAAAAAAAGAGGAGGAGAAAATAAGCTTTTCATGAAGGCTCTTGCCTGCTGGGCATGATTGACAAGTGCTGATAAAAGCAAGAGCTGGGTGCCTCAAACTGGGAACTGCTGCTGCCTAGCAACTCAGGCTAAAGAATCAAAGCAGGGGTTTTTCTATCCTGAACTAAGAATCTGTCCCTTGCCAACTTTGAGGAGTTTGTTAAAGTAAATCCAAGCAGAGAATGGAGAAGCTAGATCTTTGTTAAAATGATGATGCTGAGGTAGTTGACTATTGTTAGCTCATCAGCCTTCTTCCTCATCAAAGACCTATTGTAGCTGCCAATATTCTACTTTTCAGTAGTAAGAACTTCTGATAATCTAAAAGAAGACCCTAAGAAGAATCTTAGATTTTACTGATAGATCATAACCCTTTTTTCAAGGCTAGATGCTTTCTCAACAATTTTATGAGATCAAATGTACTATAAAACTGTCTTTATATCTCTTACTATTGAAAAACTTGACTCTTCCTTTGGTATTCCATAATTTACACCATGGATAACAAGTCTGGCAATGTATTTTGAAAAAGTTCATCACCCACATTTTAATATTGGTTGTTTCCTAGAAGCAGCATGTGTGAAATAAGTGAGTTACTGAAGAATGATGAGTAGATTCGGGGGAAAAAATTCTAGCTGTTTCTAGTTTTAATTCAGCTATGCTCCTGTTTACTTTCAATATAATTCTTCTGTATTATCAGTAATGTTTTTTTTAGATTTCACTAGAATGTAAATTCTATAAAGACAGGTATTTTTTTTTTGTTTGCTTTGTTAATAGATTTATTTCTGCACTGAGAATGATACCTGGAACTTAGTTAGGGAATCAGTAAATATTTACAGAATAAAATTAATATTTCCCCTACCACCTGGGAGTTAGAAAATTCACAGGCTGCTTTTTAGTGTCTCAGGACATATTCAGTTCTCATAAAAATATAACCGTCTTTGCCTCAATCTCTCTTTTTGCTGATAATGACTTAACTAGTAATTGTTTTGGTTTAGTATGTTGTAAAAAGTTGATGAGGTATCATGATTCCCAGGATTCGCCAAGTGTCAACTAATAATTAGTTGGGGAACCTTAGAAAACTCATTTAGCTTTTCTGGATTTTAATTTGTTCATCTACAAAGGATAATTTAACAGTGTTTTTGTCTTTCAGGATTTTGATTTGATTAACTTGCATAACAAATAATTTAGTGGTTAAAAGTAAGAATTCTGAATCTGGAATCAAATCCTAACCTATCTACTTTTGTCTTAGGCAAGTTATTGAATCTCTATAGGCTTTATATATATATACATATAAAATGGAGATAAATATAGTTCCCTTCCCACAGAATTTTGTGTAGATAAAAATAGTATGTGCAAAGCATTTAAAATAGTGTTTGCCACATTTGAAAGTACTCACAGTAAATGTTAGGTGTTATTATTAAATGGAAAACACATTTAGAAAATTGTGAATTTCTGTACAAATATAAGATAATTAGGCTTCCATTTTAATGGGTCAACAGTGTCTCAAGCTAAAATGAATAATTAATGTTCAAATTATAGACCCTGTAACAAGCTAGGGAATAAATGATTTGGCATCTCTCAATTTACACCTCATGGTTGGCTATGTATTCTATTTCCAGAAATGGCCTGAGGTGCTCATCCACAGGGCTACCTGATAATTTACTCATGATGACTTTACCTTTCTCAGTCCTGTCATCATCTTCTTATGTGACATTGGACAAGGCCAATAACTTATCTGATTCCTAGTTTCCTCATTTGTAAAATGGGAATAATAACAACTTCTTGTTCTTTTTAGAATATTAAGAGAAAGGCCTAATTAAGATACTCACTATTCAAATGTGAAGTAATATCATCCACTTGTTTTTTCTCCCTAACATTTTGATAGTGTTAACTATCTGCTCTACAAAAATAGTAGATTGCTCAAATGTTCTTTTCTTTTTTGGTCCAGACTCCCCCATGATACAAAGTTGCAAACAGACTCAGTAAGTCATCCAATACGCTAAGGCCCAGATTGAAATGGATTGCATGGATAGCAGTGTTAGAGAAGGGCTTGTTGATTAATCATTTAGTTTTTATAGTCAATATCAGGCAATCTCAGAGTAAAACAATGTTTGAAAATGGCTAAGTTAGTCTAATTGGCTTAGTTTCACAAGTTTAATATATTAAACTCCTTAGTGAATGAAATCATTTACATTCTTGTTATGTTCTATAAATATGAATGTTTTAGCATTAGAAAATTGGGTGGAATTGGGGGTGGCAGCCCACACCTCTAATCCCAGTGACACAGGAGGCTGAAGCAGTACATCCAGAGTTCAAGACCAGCCTCAGAAACTTAGCAAGGCCCTAAGCAACTTATCAAGACCCTTTCTCAAAACTAAAAATTAAAAAGAAGGCTGGGGATTTGGCTCAGTGGTTAAGCGCTCCTGGGTTCAATTCCAGCAAAAAAACTGAACAGACACTTCTCAGAAGATATACAATCAATCAACAAATATATTTTAAAAGTTCAACATTTCTAGTAATTAGAGAAATGCAAATTAAAGCTACTCACTCCAGTCAGAATGGCAATTATCAAGAATACAAGCAACAATAACTGTTGGTGAGGATGGGGGTTGGAAAGGTATGCTCATACATTGCTGGTGGCACTGCAAATTGGTGCAACCACTCTGGAAAGCAGTAAAAGATTCCTTAGAATGCTTAGAATGGATGCACGATTTGACCCAGCTATTCCACCCCTTGGTCTATACCCAAAGGACTTAAAAGCAGCATACTATAGTGATACACCAATCAATGTTTATAGCAGCTCAATTCACAATAGCTAAACTGTGGAACCAACTTAGATGCCCTTTAATAGATAAATGGATAAAGAAACTGTGATACATATACACAATGGAATATTACTCAACATTAAAAGAGAATAAAATTATGTCATTGCAGGTAAATGGATGGAGTTGGAGAATATGTTAAACCAAGTAAGCCAATCCCCAAAAACCAAAGGCCAACTATTCTCTCTGATAAGTGGATGCTGATCCAATGGGGGCAGAGGTCATGGGAAGAATGGAGGAACTCTGCATTGGACAAAGGGGAGGGAGGGGAAGGGAAGGGGCATGGGGTTAGGAAAGATGTTGGAATGAAACGGACATCATTACCCTAGGTACTTGTATGATTACACAAATGGTACGACTCTACATCGTGTACAACCTAAAAATGAAAAGTTGTTCTCCATTTGCGTACAATAAAATGAAATGCATTCTATTGTCGTTTGTATAACTAATTAAAACAAATTTTAAAATAAACTACAAAGAAAATTGGATGGAGAATTTGGAAGAGGTTCAAAAAAATACTTTTCAATTTTTGTTCTTGAATTCAAATCTTGACCTGATTTGCTTTTGGCTATGATATAATAATAAGTATTGAATTATTCCTGCTGAGGCAATCATAAAACTGGACAAAATATATGAAAAAAAATTTACACACTGGAAAACAGGCAATATAAACCATGATCCCAATTTAAACCCATGAGATGAGCCTCACATTGTTGTAGATTTGCCCGGCAACATTCT